AAAACAATGAGTTTTTTTCCCACAGCTAGGTAAGCAGCACACAATATCCAGAATATGAGCATTTCCTTGCCACTTCCAAGATAATGGGGAGAACTGCTTGTTATTTTTAATATACATTATTTAAAATGTATCAACAGACATCTTCAAAACATTTCAAATAAAGAACATATGTATCAAATAGGATGACTTCCCAATTTGTCATCTTATCATCACCTACAGTTAAAGGAATGTTGCCACAACTAAATTTTAAAAATCAATCAAAGAGTTGCCCTACTTGAGGTACTAGCAGCATGATAGCTAATTCTGCTTAGTGAACAGTTTGAATCCAGCCTAGCTGTGACAGGGCTACAGCCATCTGACAGCTATGCCTGAGTGTACAGGAAATATGCTGGCAGCTTAAATTTATTCCTTAATGAACAGACAGGCCTGTGACAGAACAACAAGAAACACTGCCTATTCTGAGTGAATTGTGTACTGAAGATACAGTTGAAAACAGAAATATTAGATTTTTTTACTCTGAGGCAGGAGAGTGGCCAGTAGCTAGGAAAATTGTGTTGCCACTATCTGTGCATACAGTTTATGGATTGAGACTATCATCTTCTATAATTCAGTCCAATACAACAGGATCAAGAGTAACAAAATTCCTGGAATATACTACTGTTCCATCTTTCTCCAAACAGACACAAAACCACAAAATAATAAAATATTTTGAAAGTATGATTGAAAATTGTATTTCTTGTGGCATTTGACACACTCCAGGAACCAAAATCCATACATTAAATTTAATGAGTATAAGTAACATACCACTCTAAATCTAATGACCACAAAAAAGTCTCAGAAGACTGGAGCAGTATCTAGAAGAAATCTCTTGAGGTAGCAAGTTACAAAGATGAACTACTTAGGAGCTCAGAAATCCTAACTTGAAAATAAGCACAGACCAGAAAAGGACATAAGGGCACCACACACCTTTAACTTGTTCTTCTTTACACATCTACTTAGAGACTGACCCCTGGGCTAGACAGAGCCCTGATCTGAACCAGTAGGGTTGTTATGTTCTTAACCATGGGGAGTCATCAATGCCCCTGTTCAAGAGGTTGATGTTATTAAACTCATCCTAAAAACTTTATACTTTACTTGTATAGATAGAGCTGTGACTAAATTAACATTCAACTAGGCCACTAGGGAACAAAATACGTAAGAAAAACTTGCAACAATGTATTAGAACACAAAGTGCTATTAATATACTTTTTGCATACTCAAGAATTGCAGCATTTTCTTTCCTTGATCTTGTTTAACAATGGAGAGTGAAAGCGCTGAAAATTAAGAAATCCGCTGCAACAAACATAATACCTGCTGTGATGCTTTAAATAAAATATGAGAAACACAAAATTAGCAGCTAACAGATGATTATATAAAGATGTTACCTTGAGTTAATTTGAAGGCAATAATAGAATAAAGGCATAGGATGCTGAAGTTATGAACAATTGTTAAAAAGCTAAGTCCAGTACCAGTAATTACTGAAAATGTTAACATCTGTGTGGCTCTGTGTGGCTCCAAATAAAAGACACTGACAGTGAATGCAGCATTGTGGTTTCTGCAACAGATAAATGTCTTTCAAGACACAACTTTTTTATGTTCTCTGCTACCAGAGGCAAAAAGCTGTATTCAGTGGTAACCTGTGATTCTGGATTCTGTATTTGGGGTTCTAAATCAGAAATACCTAAACAAGGCCTGATGTTCAGAAAGCATTCAATATCCACACTATGGGAACCAGGCATCTTTAACAACAGTGATAACTCTCAACATTTATGCCAAAAAAACACAAAAAAGAGTAGATGAAATATTAAATCATGAACACTATTTTGGTGTTTAAGCAGGAAAACCCAAAAATGGCAGAAGATGCCTAAAATTCATTTACAGCAGCTATTCAAGCAGAAGGTAGAGAAGTGTTATTCAAAGAAAACAAATTTAATCAGTTCAGACAACAATGTTTCACAGTCCTTAAAATACTTACCTAAACTAAAAACATACATCACTCACAACACTGCTAGAGTGTGACTGTGAAGAGCAGCACTGCCACAGTAAGAGCTCCCCATTCCCTTCAAATTTAAAATTTAGCATTAAATATTCTTGTATTAATGTTCCAGATTTGAAGAACTGTAGGTAATTTGCAATGCCTATCACTTCCCAGATGGAGTTCTGACTTATTTTCAGGGGTTTTCTTATACATTTAGCAACACATGCATAAACTTGTAACTTTGGTCTTTCAACACACAACATAGAGGCAAATATTAAAGTCTTTAAGTCTTAGATGCAGTTTAGTTCCCATCCCTTTCTAATATGCCGAAGTGCCCCATCTGCTGGTAGGAGTGTTACTCTAAAGAATTCCGTTCCTGAGCTGATAACTGATACTAACTTGAGGTGTTTTAAATGCAGCAATACAAAAGAAATCAGATAAAATACTTTTAAAGAAAACCATAAAATGCTCTAACACAGTTCATTCATTCCTAACTATGCAAGATACTTTTACTAAATGCTTCTGATGACCTTCCAGCTCTAGGCTAATTCTTCAGACAACACAAACTGAAAACATCAACTCATTTATTGTAAATACTTTAGTATGACTTACACTGATTCATAAAGATATGTCAAAGAGCACTTTTCAACCTGAGAGAACATAAATGGAAGACTGTTCTTTTCTCCTGATCTAAACAGGACACACACACATACTTAAAAAGTAAAAAATGCACATAATCAGTTCCACATACACATTTTAGATATGTATCTGTGTGATACAAATTACTTAGTTATCTTCATGGGAATATGAATGGGGAATAGATGGGATTAGATGGGAATAAAAAATTATGATCACTAAGGTAAATAAAGCAAGTGTTTCTTCCTTCTCCTTGCCAAATTAAAAAAAAAAAATAACCCTTTCACACAAGGGAAAATTATTAGTTTGTGATAAAAGAAGAAATTATTAAGCACATAAGAACAGATAAAATATACAGAAGTGGCTAAATACTACACAAATTGAGTAAAACTACAGAGCTCTGGCTCAAGCACCACTTAAACCACCACAGTCATCTCAAGTTAGAACATATATACAACCTGTGAAGTTTAAAAGGATGAGGAAAAAGAATAGTTGACCTGCATTTTCAATCAGTTTTTTTATGCCTATACCGGGAAATGTCCAACTTCAGGAAACATTAGACAGCCAAAATCAATCCCCAGAAGGTAAAGCACTGTTGTGACAGTCACCAGGGATTTCGGTGCCCGTGATCCCAGGAAGGGAGGGGATTTGGGAGCCTAAGAGCAGGTGAATCCTCGGTGCCACCGCGCCCTCTGCTGCCCAGCCCTGCCCGAGCACCAAGGAGCATCCATCGCTTGCTGCGCCTCTGCGAGCTGCCTTCCAGAACTTCAAGCCTGGTTTCAGATACTTCCTAAGAGTTACGTTATTCCTTTATTAACTTTTTAGACCAGCATGCTCTGAAGTGTTGCCAACACTAATATACTTGACTTATATTGAATTTTGAAGTTTTGGGAGCCCTAAAACACTCTGTTTTCTTCAAAAACTGGCTTTGCTGTCAATGACTGCTTCCAAGCAGGCATGGAAACACTGATTCAGAAAAACAGTTTTCCTTTATGCTTAGAGGACAAACATTATTTCAACTTTTTCATAATTTTATATTGCAGGAACAACTTAAATTTTAGATTTTTATACCAAATTCAACACTTCACCTGTCAGTAAAATGAGGCTCTGGAATAGTCAACAAACATTAAGCAGACGATGTAACAATTTAAGACAAAAGGTCAAATTCAGACATCCAGACATCAGTATTGTACAACCTAAACTTACATTGCTAACAGAATAATAAACATTGCTGCTTAACAGAAACATCCATCAGCACCTTTTGCATATCTTAGTCTGTCCTTCAAGCAATAGCCAAGATATAAAAAATATACTAAAGACAGCTTGCAAGGAGAAACAAAGGTATTTTTTCTTCCATTTAATGTTTAATAAAAGAGCTTTAAAAATCCTGGGGAAGAAGACAGAGGAACTATGTTGGTATGCTGGTACAAGGGATGTTCTTGTCCCTATTTAGAAAAGTTAACTAAAGTACTAAATTTTAGAAGCATGAAAATAATTGTGCCTGCCATGGTAAATACACATTAGATGCAATAAACCATGTCCTCCAGGAAAGGACACTTTTTTCTGTGCACTCTTATCAAAGCTATGTTCCTGTGCAAGGCCACTTCATTACTTGAACCCAGAGGCATGATCAGCCCTATATCTGGGAAAGCATACACACAAAATACCTTTATTACCCATTTTAAAATCAAAAGTTCATTGAACTGACTAAATTACCAAAGAACTGAAGACAAATTCATTAAAGCTGGGAGGAAAATTCACTCTGAGTATTGAGCAATTAACTCTTGAAACAAATTACAGTGGGAAGACCCCTTAGATCATGACAAGATGCCATTCTGAGATGCAAAATCAATCTGACCTGACCCACCTCCTCTAGCAGATGTCACAGAGGCCTGTCAGAAAGGTAAAGTTCTTCAAAATATTATTCCAGTGTTGGCAGTTAGTTGCTTAATAACTCAGAATCTATGCGCATACCATAGTGTTCATGGCCATTGTGATAAAACACTGATACAGATCATGAGAAATGACCTAACAGAAATCTAACTTCTTAAGGTCTAAAACACTGACATGAGTAAAATAAAAAAAAAACAAAAAAACAAAACAAAACCACCAAACTTCTTAAGGTCTAAAACACTGACATGAGTAAAATAAAAAAAAAACAAAAAAACAAAACAAAACCACCAACTTCCAAGCTAATGGAACTAACTGTGAGTATAGTGAAGGATTAGACTGCAAGTTCATAATAATCTTATAAAGCATCTCCTCAAATTCTGAGTACATTGGAACTGTTAAATACACACAAGCAAGGATGTTATTTCCAGAAGAGTATTGTTTATATTTACATTACCTTGACTGTTTTGTCCATAGAGGCTGAGAGAAGCATGTGACTTTGTTCCCGTACAGGACACCACTGGATTTCATTAACAGGGCCGCTGTGTTTAGACATGTAAAATATTAAGCTTTTGGGAACTTCAGTAACTTTATATTTAGATCCCAAATACGGCTTAATTAATTCAGAGATCTTTCTCAAAGTCTGCTCTCCTGATACACTTGACTTAACATCACAATCTGAGCTACCTCTCTGGTCAGATTCATCCTTTTCAGGCTTACTGGAATTTTCTTGACGCAGTCGTTTAGGGATATATGGTCTAATTCCTGCTACGGTACTAGCGCTGTCTTGATGTGTTCTCTTCTGGGAAACACCACTTCCAGAATTTGTTGAGGAGCTTGAAGCCTGTTCATAGTTTTTGTAAGCCACAGATAACGCAGCATGGCCAGAGCACACCCTCCGACTGTAGGGAGGTGCCAAGGCAGTGTTGTTATTCTCTGCATAATGCTCGGGGGGATCTTCACAAACCCTGCTCCTGCTAGATCTGCCAGTCCTCCCAGCAGGGTGCATTTCATATGGAGATTTTGTACTACCAGGTGCAAAGTGCTGAACACAACTCACAGAAGAGCTCAGCTGGTTTGTTTGTCTGCCAGAAGCATCGGGGGCTTCAGTCTTTTCCGTTTCTGTCTCAGAGTCTGAATCTTCATAAGCAACCAAACTCATTATGGCTAGACACAGCAGACTCCAGAGATCTCAGTGCTGCAATCCTCCAAAATTATGATCTAAAATAAAGAATTGATTATTCAGAGCACAATTAATTACAGCCTACAATTTGAGTAACTTAGGGATATAAATATGCCTTTTTTAACAAAAAAAAAATAAATTCAAAACTCTTATTTCTGTTTATTAATAGAATTCATTCCTCTATTATAACACAATGTACATTCTATTAAACAACACGATTTGCCTCCAAGCCCTTTGCATACATTTTTAATGCATTGCAGAGGTGTATTTGCATACCACAAAACAATGACAATGAGGATGAAAAAGAAAACAACCTTGCAATACAAATACAGCAAATTACTTTGCCTTACTTCTAGCATTACTTCTACACATACAGAGAGAAGAAATTAATTATGTAGTGGTTTTGTATGTACATTTATAAGAATACAAGTACTACAACCCTTTTGGAGTCAGTCTAACAATATCTATTTCTTAGCAGTACAGATAATTTGAAAGAAGTGTGTAGGAGTTCAACTGGAAGTTAAAATGCAAACCCATTTTTTGACCCCTCCAGCAGCCTTGCAGTAAGAGGAAATTCTCCAACTGTATCCACACAGCATGTTCCACACAGCCTTTAGTTTTACAGATCAGATATGCCAGAAGCTACATTGAATTCACTATTTGCATTTACTTACAGAAAAACGAAAGCACAGATGCCTCAACTGTGGAGTAAGTTTTTTTCAACATGTCCAGGGAAAAGAAATCTCATGCCAAGACTGCATGTGAAACATGCAGAATAATTCAATAATCCCACCAAGATTTTTCCAACAATTTCTACTGAGTACGTGGAGTATAGAGTTAACTACATTCAAACAACTGATGTGTCTGCAAAGTAATATGTCAACCTCTGCTGTTTATAGGCAAAAAAGTATGGGTAAGATTGATTAAATGTGACATTTTATTATTGCTTTGTTTCCTTGCCAAGCTGCTAGCACTCATTATGCTGAAGAGATTTAACCCACAACTTTCAGACAGACTGCTGAAATTCTTGGTTCAGGTCAGCAAAGAAACTGCCCTCAAAAGCATCTTGATGACAACAGGGAATGCAGCATGAAAGTCAGAATCTTCATAAGCATTTGCAGAATTGACACTACAAATGTAGGGACACCACAGATGCAGGTGCTACAAATACTTCTGCAGGAGTAGGACTCTAGAACTTGTAAAGATTCTTTAACTTCAGAATTAGATCTATTTGAATTAAAAACAACTGTGTTTCACATAACTTACAGAAGTGTTACATGTCTCCATATTCTGTTATCAAATTTCTAAGCACAGATCCAGAAGATATTATCCAGATACTTACTAAGATACACACATTCATCATCACCTTCCAAAGATAAGTGATCCAGACATTTAACTGGAACAAGGTGACCAACATTTCAGCACATAAAAGCAACAAGATCTCCCTCTAGAGGACATTTTGTCATTATCTGAAGTTTAAGACAGCTATAAGTGACAGCAAAGAAGAGCAAGGAAAAAATATTTTTTTAATAATACAGCTTCATTTATTACAGAAATATTTCATTTAAACAGTGTCAAGGGTGGGGAAAAAAGTGCTTCATGAAAACTTAACAAATCAATTCAAAAACAGTAAATTGAAGTTCCTAGCAGTAAATTGAAACATCTTATCAAATAAATAGGAGCTTTGAAGGGCTTCACTTCAGTAATTGTATCAAGTGGTTACTGTTTGTATTGCAGCACTAAACACATTCTCCAGCCAAATGCATCATGTTCAAAGAACAAGTACAGTAAGAAGCTGACCTCTGGCTATAAGCTATAAACTAGGATACACAAGTAGATTGGGTTAGACTTACAAAGTTACTTTAGTTTGTTTTAACACAAAAAAAACCCCAAGCTGAGATTCATAAGTGCGAGATAGTGCCTTGCAAACACAAGGTTAAAAACGTCTCCCATGAGATACTGGAGAGAAACTGTCCCATTACATTTGGTCACCATAAATCTATCCCACCACACACATCAACCATAAATATTAGTGTCATTGTGAAAACAAAGCATCTCACTCATCTAAAGACTTCCCATCAATTTTTGTTTTTAAAGAAACACCACCCAGAGACACTGCCCTAACTTAAGAAAAACAGGGTGCCGGGGGTGAACCACAACGTTCCTGATTGGAAACATCCTGGAACAAGGCTGTGAGTTTATCAGCGGTGTGATGTGTAATGTATTGAGCTAAAAGCGAAGTTCACAGCACTTTGGTTTTCCTCGGCTTCCACAAGACTGATTTATCGGAACACATTGAGGAAGATTGTTCAGCTTGAGCGGCACAGTGCCCGCGGATGGCAGCGGAGCTGAGAGAAGGAGCAGAGCTGGCTGACGGCGGAGCCCCGGCAGGCAGGCAGGAGGCACAGCCGCCTCCCCGGGGCTCTCCCTCGCTCCCAATGCCCCACAGCCCCGGGGGGGAAAGAACAAGCACCGGGAGAGGCCACAAAGATGATGAGGAATATGGAGCATCTCTCTTACGAGAGACTGCGGCAGACGTGTTTAGTCTGGAGAAGACTGAGGGGATCGGATCAATTTGTACAAATGTCTTAAAAGCACAGAGGATGGTGCCAAGGCTCTTTTCGGCGGTGCCCAGCGACAGGACGAGGAGCAATAACCATAAACCAAAACACAAGAAGTTCCACCTCAACGCGAGGAAGCACTGTTTTTGATGGAGGGTGGCAGAGCTCCGGTCAGGCTGATCAGTGAAGTCGTGGGGTCTCCCTGTCTGGAGACATTCAGGCGGATGCGATACCGTGTAACCTGCTGCGGGTGACCCTGCCTGGGCAGAGCCCTGGATAACCTCCAGAGGCCTGGATAACCTCCAGAGGACCCTTCCAGCCCTAACGATTCTGCAAACACCCGGTCCTCTCCAGTCCCCCCTCTCCAGCCCCACCCGAGAAAGCTGGTCCCGGGAGAGCCCCGCCATCCGAGGCCGGCTCCTCATCCTCTCCCACAGAGCCGTTGCCTCTCCACAGGGTCCCGGGCGCCGAGACCAGCCTCGGTGCCGGGACAACGGCGCCCGGCACGGTTCCGGTTCCCGTTCCGGTTCCCGTTCCCATTCCCATTCCCGTTCCCGTTCCCGTTCCCATTCCCGTTCCCATCCCCGCGGTACCTGCGCTCCCAGCAGCGCAACCGGAACTCACCTGCCGGCCGCCGCCGCGCCTTTCTGAAAACGCGCCGGGTGAAAACAAGGCACCCCACACAAACAGTTCCGCATGTCGTAGACCCCGCGCTGGGGCCGCGTGTTGGGAAGGGCAGGGGTCAGAGCGCGGCTCCTCTGGCGGGCAGAAGCTCCTCTTCAGCCGCTCCGAGCGGAATGGAGAGCGCTCCCTTGGGCTGGTGACTGGAGCAGGAGGGAGGGCTGTGAGGCAATGGTTCCGGGGGTTTGTGTTTCCCAGCCGGGAGGCGCAGGGGCCGTGCCGGCTGGGGTGATGCAATGGTGGTGACAGAGGAGCGGCGGGTGAGGAGCGGCGGGACGGGACGGGCTGGGCCGGGATGGCCGCGGGGATGGGCACTCACAGAGACACCCCGGCGGGCGGAGAGGGGCTGCTTGGGTGCTCTCTGCCGCCCCTGTGACCGCCGGGTGTGAGGGTGTCTGCCGGGCACGTTTTCTCCTTCCCCTTGAGATGAGTCGATGCACTTGAGGGCTTTTCCTCCATTCCCTGAGGGGTTCCTCGCCAGAGAGTCAGGTGAAAATGCTCTTTTCTCTGAGAAGGGCAGGGCGGGGTGTCCAGGTCACTGGAAAATGCATCCCACGGCAGGAAGGGCAGAGCTGGCGAGCGGCTTTGCTGTGCCCGGGCAGGGCGTGGCAGGGAATGCTGCAGGACGCCAGGGTTAGGGAGCATTGGCGTGTTGAGTAATTCTGTGCTACAGCAGTAGCTCTGCTCTTGTGCAGCTGCGGTGTAGCAAAGATTCATGTCGGGCTTGCTTCTGGTGACTCCTCTGTCCTTGAATGGTCATGTTATCTGTCATCTTGGGGAATTGTCTTGCTCTCTTTTATTGTAATTTCGTGTGTAAATTGATGCTTGCCATGACTGGGGAGATAGGTCTGCTGTAAAGTGCAGCCTATGTTGGAGTGCCTCTCAAGGGCTGTTTCAAATTACATCTGTGTGGATGCTTCCTACTTTGATTTCACTTTTTTTGTTTTTATTTTTTTTTACAGGAGGAAAAAGAGTTTTCAGGAATGTAAGTGCTTTTAAACTTAGTCTCGCATTCTTTCGTTTGCTCATGAAAGCTTGTTCTGGACTGTTGTATTACTGTTGTCTCTGGAAGTCATAATGTACTTTCTTGCAGTGTTTGTCTTCTTAACTTAACGTGAAACCATGTTTTTTTAATTCTCAGTTCTCTAACTTACCAAGTCAGACTGCAGACAGTGAAAATGATCATAGATATGTGATGGTCAGCCAGTTGGAAAGGGAGGAAGATGCAGTAGTTTTCTGATACCTTTGCCAAGGATTATATTTGAGCTTTGTCTCATAGCACTTTAATTATAAGTTACCTGCATTTCATAGGTAGAAAAAGCACACACATCTTGGCTTTCAAGTTCACACTGGGTCATTCTAGACTCCGCTCCTAAATATCCAATAGTTCATTCTATAAATCCCATGCATCATTTTTTTTTTTCTCAAGTCTCTTTGCCTATGGTATGTAATCAGTCTTGGACTGTTGATTTTTATAATATCAAGAAGAAAGCAAGAAAAAAAAAAATCCTGATAGGAGAATATCCAGATATTTCTTTTTAATGGTTCACATTAACAGATTTCAAAAGTGTTATAAATAACTGTGTTCCACATTAATTCCTGGCTTGAACTCCACTAGCAAATAGGGGCAGTACTGAGGTAAATCAAGATAACCTTTAAGTAGCAGTCCATATATTTTACATTCATTGTCACAACATCTTCATGTCTTCTTGCATCACCTGCAGTTTTTCTGCTACTTAATGAAGATGCACCTTCATTTGAGTTTCTCTTTTCAGCTTAAATCCATATTGTTCCAAACATTTTAAGGAGTCTTGTTTGCTGCTTTCCAGTATATGTGCCAAGTGTCAGCTATCATTTCAGCCTTTCTGAATGGAGGCAATCCATCAGCAAGACTCTACTGTAAGGATTTAAATTAAAACAAGTCACAATTTGTTCTACACCAAAGAAAATTCTTATTTATGTCTTTATTGTTTCGTAAAATTTGAAGCCAGTAAATATAAATGGCATGTTCCTACAGAAAGGGTGTGTGTTAATCTTCATAAACATTTTCTAACATGCATTTATTCCTTACTTTAACACTTAAAATATTCTTTGCCCATGAAGAAGAGGAAGGCAATAGCTAAATAAAAAAATGTAATTAAATTGTAGGAATACATCAAAAAATTGTTTGATATGCTTCAAATTACTTTTTTTTTTTATCACACTGTCAAACTGCAAAAAGTTTAAAGGGATAAAATTAGGTTAAAAACTTAAGTGTTATTATGTAATCTAAGTATGGTAATCCAAGAGTTAATAGAGTAAACAAATTACATTAATAAGTGGATATATCCGCTTCTCAGTTTAACTGAAGCTGAAATATGGGAATATTGCAGCTGACTGACAAACAAAGCCTTAATGGTAGGTATGTTTTGGTAACTACCCTGTTGCCAAATCGACCTTCAAAGTTTCCTAGGCAGGTGAAGGCTTTTTACAGTAGCAGTTTAATAAACACTGTGTACATATAACCAAGGTTATGATTAGACTGATTATTTTGTGGAAGGAAGGCTTTGAAGTTCTGCTGAACAGCTAACACAACTATTGTATGCTTCTGGAGGTTTTGTTTCGTTTGGGTTTTTTGTTTGTTTTAATTCTGGGAAAAGGGAGCCAAAGGAACATGTATCTTTACTTACACTCACTCAATCTGTGCTCCATGCACAGCAGTGGATCAGTAATTTGCTAGGGAGTCTCTCCAGAGAGACAAGACCTTTCAAGTCAGTAGTTTTTTACGTGGACACAGAGCTTCCCCCCCATGCCATGTTCCCCATGGACATGGGCACTGCATGACAGAGCGTGCTTAGGCAGACTGCTGTGTTCTTAGTCTCAGCCAGCTCCTCATCTTAAACCATCTCCTATTATTTTTCCTGCATAGTTCTGAGAAACCCAGGCAAATTTACAGCCTATTGCTTACCCAATAATTCTAGGGAAAGCAGCATTTCTCACCAATTATCAATGTATTTTGTAACCTCTGGAGGAAAGCCATAAAGAAAATGACTAAGCTTTGCTTTGGGCTGAAGTACTCTATTACATGTACTAAGACAAAATGCCATAGTTATAGTAGGTAGGTAGGTAGTATAGTTAGTTTATAGTTCATAGTTATGGTAGGTAGGTAGGTAGTTTTGTAGTTATGAAAGCCTCATCATCCAGAATTTGACAGGGTATCAGTGCAGGAACATTAACTAATCAGCAATCAGATAGCCTCTACCAGTTGTGCTGAGATGCTCTGAATCATATATACATGTATTTATTTTCCTTTTGCCAGGAATTTGACTTTGGAAAGGTGTTCTAGTATCAAATACATAGACAGAAATCACAAACAGTGATGTCTAAATTTACCTGATGCTCTTGTCAGTCACTGTCCATTTTTGTGTGAAACTGAAACTCACTAATGTCTAATGTCTCCACATTTATCAATTTGATATGAATGGAACATTCATAGGGATCAGTATAGTTTTTATTTTCTTATTCTCTTCACCTGATCTTGAAATCTTACACTAAAGAGTAAAACATACTACTTTCTGCCCTACAGTTTCCTTCATTGCTGCTGTTTTGAATCTCCAAGCCAAAGAGTTGGAAGAGGATAAATTCAGTTGACTTGTACCTAACCAGATCTTTGTGCAGTCTGGCGAAATGGCCGACAGCCCGAACTCTGATTTGAAGACTCTGAGTCCCCTTCAGCTGTTTGAAAGAGTGACTGAGCAAGGAGAGAAAGTCAGAGCACTGAAAGCAGGAAAAGCACCAAAGGTATTTGTGTTTCATATTTTGAACCCTTCTGTTTCAGTTTAGGTATGTCTTTGAGTGCTGAAGAATTTTATTGTTCTAAGATCTATTTTGCATTGTGATGAAAAGAACTCTTGCTAAAAACTGTTTATATCCATTTTGTGAACTGTGGCATACCTGGAGTAAGGTAGTCACTGACAAGACCAAAGTTTTTACTCTTCAGGTAAAAACAGAGTCCTAGACTTAGAAGTTCCCTTCATCCAGTTGCCGTACCATGTGGCAGGATCCAAGGCATTTATTTCTTAAGTAAATTTGTCACTTGCATTCTCCTAGGGTTTAAATAGTTCATGAAAGTATTTTTCTCTAGGCATTATTGTAGACATTATCAAATATGTCTTCCTGTAACTGTACTGACAGTCCCTGCTTAATCTCCCTTAAATAATTCAGTAATTTGCCATTTATTTCAGGTTCTCTATTGTGTCATCACTATTTTGGCAAGGAGAGATCAGTTTTAATATGGGTTTTTTTAATGTATTGCCTGTGGGAGTAAGCCTTGAAAATTTGGAGTCAAATAAAGTGTTGTTCTACTTATTGCTTACATCAGATTTTACAATAGCTTTATATTAGAGAGGTCATAACCATAACTTCTCGTTCTAGTTTGTCTTCAAGTCTGTCAATGAATTGTAATGAATAAATTATTTTAAGGTGAGCCACTAAAAGCATTGTAAAGTAAATTAGATAATAATTTCTATTTCATTTATATACCTTAGAATTTTATGGTAAAAGTGCTAAGCTTGTTATACCTCTAAAAAGTGAGCAAGCATCTTTTTTCTAGGCAGAAATTGAAAAGCAAGGCAGAGGTGCTTTAAATATGTTTGCAATGGTGATGGTTTATATTTTAACGATTAAGTTTTTGCTTTTCTTCTACCTTTGACATTGATGCTGAAAGCATTTAAATAGAACAGAGTTTAGAGTTTGTAATGATGCAGTTCAGATCAAAGCATGGATGTGGGATTTTGAAAGGTTAGAACATTGATGTAGTCGTCTATTTTAAATATGAGTGAAGCCATTTAAGTGAAGGCAAACAGTTGTTTGGGTTTTTTCCTTTATTCAGGATGAAGTTGATGCAGCAGTGAGGATGCTCTTATCATTAAAACTGTCATATAAAACAACAACAGGACAAGATTATCAGGCAGGCTTGCCTCCAAAAGATCTTGTATTAATAAACAATGGTACAACTAAAGAAGAGGATGAGGATTTAGTGGATCCCTGGAATGTGCAGACATCAAATGCTAAAGGCGTGGATTATGACAAGCTCATAGGTATAACTCTTCCT